CCGCTTGAAAGACCGTGGCTAATTTACCCAGAGAGAAAAACTCTCTGTGATTTGATCCTGGACAGTAGATGCCTGCTCCATAGCAGCCGTTTGCTCCAGATCCATCAATAAACCATGCATGAGTGCCCGGCTGGATCTGAAGATTTTTGTTTTTCCAGTCCGCCCTGGTGGTCAAGTTTATGGAGAACGCCTTGTCCACTTGGCGTATTCTGGATATTCTATCTTGCTTTAAGGTAAAGAGAGGTTTGTGAAGAAAATCGAGCCTGGTATGACCTACTCCGAAATCTCTCCACTCTCCCTGACACCTTAGTCTATATGCTGTGAGTTTGGCAGCGCTGATGACAGTCAATCTTAGAGGTGGAATGCAGAGTGCCACTTCCAGCGCTTCTGTTAGTGTCGTTCTCATAGTCCCTACCGCAGCCCTCAAGTAACTACCTTAGAGGCTTTTTAGTAGGTTCTTTGACTCTATCTTTTCCACTCTGGGCCACCAAACAACAGCAGCATATGTTAACCTCGGTACAAGTACCGCTTTGTATATCCATAGGGCAGTATTTAGTTTAATACCCCATCTTTCGTCTTACAATATTAAATAATTTTGCAACAATTATATATTACAAGTTTTATGCAATGATAATAATAATATTACGAAGAAAGTAGTGGTCTTCCGCACTACNCATGAGGTGCCACTAATAGCGCGTTAGGTTTTTTAACGTGGACCTTCGCCTGTAGCCCTATTCTACCACGTTTTATTTCGCATCTGTTAAGTTTATTAATATGAATGTTGGATATTTAGGATGCCAGACATAGTACAATTTTACACATTAATTATTTGTAGATGTAAATGTCGGATATATAGAATACCAGACATACTAAGGTTTAAAGACATTTATTATTTTTACTAAAGTTTAAAGACATTTATTATTTTTAGATGTAAATGTCGGATATAGAGATTTCCAGACATTGTAAGATTTTAACACATTTATTATTTTTATATGTAAATGTCGGATATAGAGAATGCCAGACGTCTAAGATTTAAACACATGTATTAATAAAAAATATGACTGTTTCACATAGAATACAAATTAAAGAGTTAACATATTTAGTATTTATAGATGAAGATGTACAATGTGCTACAATGCTATACAAATTAAAAGTATTATAGTATTATAAGTAATAAAGTAACATATTTTTAGTATGTACATAATTATTACTTATAAATGTGAATTTCTGACATATAGAATATCAGAAAAACAAATTGGTAATTTAAACATTATTATTGCACATATTAGACGTGGAAGGACCAGCATCTTCAATATCATCTGCAGCATATAATCTCAAATGACTTTTCTGTTTTTTAGAACATGCAGAATACAAATTGTTTGTTGCCATTAGATACAAATGTTTTTCATGAATGTTTATGTCTACGGCTGTTTCCCTTCTCGCTTTCAATGCTGATTTTATAACGCAAGTAGCAGTGACAGTGACAGACGAAAGTTTATTTTGTTTTTTTGTCTTTATATCTGGCAAGAGAGAAAAGATTCTTTCTGAATCGGCATTTGAATTTGGCAGCGATCTAACGGCATTTAGAAGAGACTTTAAATTGGGATATTTATGTGTACGTTGGAAAATGTGTTTCCACATGTCATCAAAATTTAATTTCGAGAAATAATCTTTTTCTGCTTCTGTTAAACTCTGATGTAAAGCAAACCATTCTTTTCTTAAATTATTGTCGTCAAACCCACCAAAGGTTTGGGCAACAAAAGAAACGTCATAAAAAGAAGCTTCTCTATTACTATTATATAAAGCCATGTCAGATTCAAAAACTTTTAATTTTGATAAAAATAAGTCGTTTATTGGTAATTTTGTACAAATATCTTGGGCAGCAGTCACGTAAAATTGCAAACAATTTTCTCTAACATTTGCAACAACGTCTGCGTGTCCCTGTCCGATTAATGTTACAAGATATTTTTCACATTCACTTCCTAAGCTTACTTCGTTTAAAGATTTTTGATTTTTTTTATTGGAAAAATCAAAATTATTATTTATATTACGTAAAAGCTCTGGATTTACAAAATTTTTACATACAATATTTAGCAATTCGAGTGATTTTGGTTGTAGTTTTTGTATGCTTGTTTCCAGAGCTTGAAAAAATGCATTAAACAAATTTAAAAAATGTAAAATATATTTCAAAAATAATAAATATGCTTTTACAGCTCAGGTTTGTGCATGACAGATAATAATTTTTCTCCAGTCTGTGTTTTATCACTCAGTACTATTTCTGTTAAAAAATTATTAATGGTATCCTAAGATTTTAAAATTCTTTCAATACATACATGTCGAGAAAGCCATCGTGTATCGCACAACTTTAGAATTTTGTTGTTTATTTTTTCAAAGCATTTACTAAATTCTTCAAAAATAGCTGATCGCTTTGGACTACTATTAATAAAAGTTGCTACTTTCTTTACGAATTCCTCGCAATAGTCTGGAATTTTACTACATGCAGCATTAGCAATTAGCGCAGAGGCATGACAAGGACATGTCAATGTCAATAAAGTTTTGCAAAATTTCTGAAGCTTTGTTTTAAACGAAGAATATTTACCCGTCATAACAGACGCGTTGTCGCAGGACAAAGCAACAATATTTGAAAATGGAATTTTAAGTTTTCACATTTCACATTTAAACGCATCAAATAATTTTTTCGCGCTGCAATCTTTTGCATCTATATCAATTAATTTGACTAATTGCGAGGAAATATCTAATGTTTCGNGATTAACGTACCGAACAAGAAACGTCATCCATTTCTGATTAGAAATGTTTGACGTTTCATCTATAAAAATAGTAAATTTTGTATTTTGAATAATGTCGACTATACGATCGGTTTCAATCGGACATAACACGTTCGAAATAATCTTTTGACATTTTACTCGACTCATTGTCATGTTTTGCAATACATTTATATCTTTTCCTATTTGTTGGAAGAATTTTAAAATTTCTGGCGCAGTTTGAAGCAAAATATTGTGTTCGGCAATGAAAGCAGCGAATTTAATTTCCGCTGCTTTCTTTCGCTCTTTGAATGATAAAGTTTTGTCTGTCATAGTTACATCTTCATCTGTTTGTTTTTTTTTCAACATTCTTTTCTTTAGTTACATGTGCTGCGGATTCTGCGTGCTCATAAATACTTGACAATCTTGCTGACATATATTTGTCACAAAATGAGCAGAAAAATAATTTATTGTTATGCGATACTTCACATAACCATGGTTGAAATTGCTTCATTTCCAATCATTGTTTTCGAAATTTATGTAGATCCGAAGTATGTATAACATTCTCATCATTATTATTTAAGAAAACACACATGTGTTTTCTTTAATATTATTTTTATGACACGAAGAATCTGCATGTCTTGAAATGCGCGTGTTACAAGAAAAATCTTTATTGCATATAGTGCAATGAATAAGACTATCATTTGACTATCATTTGATACTTTTCGTATCCAAAATTTATATCGGTCATCTTTAAGCCAAACTTCTAGAAAACTTCTCTTTGATTTTTTTTGTGAATCGTACATTTCAATATACGACAAAAGGACAAGAAAGAATTAAATTAATAGACAACAAAAAGAAAAAATGTAAGATAAGTTTACTGACTTACTTTGGAGTCAGTTTTCTGACTGACGTTACCACTTAATCGAGCAAGTTTAACGTACAGAATATACGTTGACTTGCAAGAAAATCATGTAATGAATTCAATCAATCTATCATACAAGTCCAATCAATCAGTAGTATAAGTCTAATCACAGATTGATGTCATAGATACTAAGTATCACAGATTTAATATAAATGATCTATAAAATAGACAAAAAAAAGCCACAACTCTTCACTGCACAATACACCACAATACATAATATACGCAATAATCGGAAAACGAATGCAGCGCACAGCGTGGCTGCGACACATACGCGATTTTTAATTGTTTCGCGTAAGTCGCGCCCGCGTCGCGCTTGTCATCTTTTAGTTACAAAGACAAAAACGAGGGCAGCGCTGAAGAAAAGTGGAAGACAGGTTACGCCATGGAGACCGATATGTCTCGTAAGTAATAAGTAAAATCATTATTTTTCTCATACTAAATTGAATGACAAAGTTATTCAAAAGTCAAAGCAAAAGAAATATAAGAAAAAATATCTCGTACATTTTTGCTGTGTACATTGTGCGCTGCATATATTAATATAAACGTTGTTGTCGTGATTATTGCATATGTATTGTGTAGTGAAAAGTAGTTTTAAGTGACTTTGTCATCGATTGTTGTCTTAGGAGAATATATTTATTTCAAGCAATTTAAAAGTTGTACAGTATATTGTGGATGCTTTCCAGCTAGCTGTATAACATAGTGTCTACTAGTGCAAATGAAACACTGATATGCTCCTTCTCACACTAATAGACACTATGGTTAGAAAGCACCCCGTGTCAGTATATCAGTTCCCATATAGCACAGAAGGTTGCAGCAACATTGCTGCAACGTTGCAACATTGCAATTGCTGTACAATGTTGCAGAGATATTGCAAAAACATTATTTAGAAATATTATTCTAGCAATGCTGCAGCAATATTTTAAAACATTGTTAGAATTGCGTATAAATATTATAGTGTATAATCAGTGAGTGATTACAGATATAGTGTCAGTTTTTTGCAATTCAATGTACGTAATTTGTGAAGCCTGGTACTACCACATGTTAGTGTCCTGCTTAACTTCATACGTTTTTTTCGCGCAAAAAAGGCCATGAGCGGATCCAAGCTAGGGATACAGACTTGGGCTGCGTTCCGAGTTACGCATCGCATATACGCGCATTTATTTATAGTACACGTCGTGTATAGTATAGATAAATGCACGCATATGCGTAACTCGGAACGCAGCCTTGATAATATGCGGTAGCACGTGGAGGGGATGCGCACAGAGCTACATACCGTATACTTCCAGCTGTGTGCGCATCCCCTCTACGCTGTTCACAGTGTTGACTCTTTTACAGAGTAAGTTCCACTGTGCCGTTCGCAATGCTCATGGAATCATTTCATCCTTGTTTTTCATCAAAAGTTACACAAAGATAGGTAATACTACGAGCGTTATGAACGGCAAATGGAACTTACTTATCCCCTCCACCGCTTCAGCATGCTGGAAGAGAATCAAAACACTGTGAACACTGCTTCCACGTGCTATCGCATGCTAAGGCCCAAGATATTAATCCAAGCGTGATCGTTTCCTATAAAGTGTTTATTTATAGTGATTTTTCTTCACAAATAAAGTTAAGTAAGTATATCACAAATGATTATTTTGCTGATCTATGTATATTAATTAAAATCTTCCTGTGTTTCACAATTTATTTTATCCAATCATATTCTTACTTTACTTTTATATTAAAATATACGCACATTGAATATCTATTATGTAGTCAAAGGTGCACTTTTAAATATTATAAAATCTATATACACACATAAGCATGTATATATCTTTTGAGAATATTCTTTGAATATTCATCTAATAATATTATATAATTATTAATATTCATCTAATAATATTTGTTTAATATTTACAAATTTTTAGTGTGGTATTTATGCAATTATTATTTTATTATAAAAATATGTATAACATACACAAAAGACTTGTTTCCAAACGCCACAGTAGACGGATTATTGCTAATAATACTGAAATAGATATCGCTGGCTGTTCAAAATCAATTCTAGATTCGTATAATGTCAATACTTCTCTTCCAAAAATACTGTTCATGTAGATGTACATAATAAAAGTGCTGCAGAAGTTATTTGTAATGCATACAATGAAAGTGCTGCAGAAGATATTTGTAATGTACATAATAATAACACAATGCATACCGACATTACAACTTCACAGGATTATGATAAATGTCAAGATCATAACATCCAAAGAAACAACGATAATTGTTATGATCCTATGATACTTGATCGTATAGTAACTGAAAATTATAAATCTATTATAGAAGAAGTAGATCAGACTTATGACAATAATGATAATGAAAAGAAATTAAGAAATGCTATAGCTACATGGGTTGTATCATATAATATTCCCCACAATGCATGTAATGCATTGTTAAAAATTTTGCGTCAATATACATCGTCTAACATNCCTATGGACACACGAACATTGCTGCAAACTCCAAGACAAACAAATATAGTAAAAGTATGTGGAGGAGAATACTTTCATTTTGGTTTACACAATATTATTAAACAGATGGTATTGAAAAATAACGATAAATGTTTTAAGTTACTAATAAATATCGATGGTCTGCCACTAGCAAAATCATCACAAGCATCCTTGTGGCCTATTTTATGTTCAAATACAGTAAATATGACAGTATATCTTGTTGGTGCATATTTTGGGTACAAAAAACCTACTAATTCTAATGTTTTTTTGCAATCTTTAGTCAACGACTTAATAGATTTAATTAATAATGGTTATATTTATAACGGAAACGTAATTAAAGTTTTATTATTTGCTCTAATATGTGATGCACCTGCTAAATCGTTAGCATTATGTATAAAAGGTCATACAGGATTTAATAGTTGCAGTAAATGTTTAGTCAAAGGCACGTATATAAATGGTAGAATATGCTTCCCATGTGAAAAAAAATATCCTTTAAGAACAGATGAGTTATTTGCAATTAATGCTTATAAAGAATTTCAAATTAGTTTTTCTATTTTAAATAATGTTCCCAAATTTTTACCTTTAACTAATACTCCATTAGATTACATGCACTTGATATGTTTAGGAGTTGTTAAAAAAATAATACTATTTGGGATAAAAGGTCCACGTTCTGTACGTTTAAATACTAGATCTATCAATAAAATATCACATCTTCTGATTTTGTTTAGGAATACTACACCAGTTGATTTTGTTAGAAAACCCAGATCACTAAAAGACGTTAAGCAATGGAAAGCTACGGAATTCAGAAATTTTTTATTATATACTGGTCCTGTTGTATTAAAGAATATATTACAAGAAAAAATATACATGCATTTCCTCACATTACATGTAGCTATAACAATTCTTACACGTCGAAATTTATGTCAAAAAGAATTAATAAATTTTGCTGAAGCTTTACTTCATCATTTTGTTGAGTCATTTCAAATATTATACGGTAAACAGTATATATCGCATAACGTGCATAATCTTTTACATATATGTTCTGACGTAAGAATATATGGTCCACTCGACAATTTTAGTGCTTTTCGTTTTGAGAATTATATGACATTAATTAAGAGACGATTACAAAAAAATAACAAACCATTGCAACAATTAATTAAGAGGTATAATGAGATTGAAAACTGTAATTTTCTATTTGTAAAACATGATAAAAGCACTGAAACATATTCATGTAAATATTTGCACAACAATGGTCCAATACTGGATAATATAGATGTTGAATCACAGTATCTAATGATATCAAAGGGAAAATTTAATATTAATTGTAAAAGTTCTTCTAATAATTGCTGTTTATTAAGAAACGGTCAATGCATTGTGATTGTGAACGTTATACAAAAAAAAATAAAGAAATTTGTCTAATTGGTANAAAATTAAATTATGTAAAAGATTTGTATAAATCACCATGTCAATCCAGTGATTTCCATATTAAAGTAATGACAGTATATAATGATAACATTTATTCTTGGCCAATTACAGATGTTCTATGTAAAGTGTGGAAAATTCCTTATGGGAACAATAGAAATACTTACGTAATTTTTCTCCTTAATCATGACATTTAATTTTGTGCGTTACATAATGTATATATAGTTCTATAATAAAATATAATGCATATTTACTATATGACCGCATGTATTGTGCAATACAGAAAAATGGATAACAAGAAATATATTATTGCGGAATTTGATGATGGTCTACAGTTGATACCCGCAATATGGTTCAACGCAGATACGTCATCAAGTATTTGNCCTAGTCACTTCAAAACAAAATTTCGTATTAATAAGGCCATAGTGACAAGAGAGATCCCACAACATAAATCAGATTGGGAGGAGTTACCAATAAAGAAAGTTTTTGGCATTGCAAGTAAGAATAATGTAACACATATATTTGTATTTATTAATAATTTTTATAACTTGTTTTAATGATTTTCTTGTAAATTATTTAGATACTTACGAAGAAGGTATGCAAAAATTATGTTTAGCGGAAGATACCTCAAATATTGATGAAACAGGTGTATCGTCAAACGAAGTAAGAGAACGAG